AGTCACTATCCTCCCTTGTATTTATCCATATGTTGTAGTTATCCTAATCATTATAGGATTAGGATAATCATCCCCTTTATTGTTGTAATCCTTATCTCCTAAGGAATATGCTTATTCTCTTGTATGTATATATATGTATGTGCACGTGATGAATAAGATATACAGAGTTACAACCTTCTTCTTTATTCTATAACAATATATATATATATCATTAGATAATATAATTTTTTATTTTCTTTTGGAGATAAATTTCGATATTAGAATAATTCATATCCTCTGTAGATTTAGGAATATTTCTTGTTATCTAAATTACTTAACTTTAGGAAGATTTTCATTTATAGATGAAGATATCCCCGACATATAAACCGGAGGTTCAGAGGCTGACGTTATGCTCTTAACCATTGTGATTGTTCCTGTGTTTTTTATGCTCAAGCACTCTTGTTCAAATATTTTCCTAATTATTTTAATTTATATTTCTTTTTTTGCTTTAATAGAAAACCGTTCTATTCAAAACACAGCACTTCAAAATAAGCTTTAAAAGCAAAAATGTAAAGAAAGAGAATAATTTGAAAAGAAATAAAGTTATTTGAATATACTGAATAGATACTGTACCTGTTATTCTAATCAGTCACGAGTAGGTATAGTTTAAGGCTAGTAGAGTATAATTTAGAGGTTGATTTAGAAAGAAAGATCTCAAAGAATTGGAGTATTTGTATTTGTTAGAAATCATAAAAGTTGTAGTATGGTATTTGAATTTTAAAAGTAAAAGTATTTGATTTCTCTTTTCCTTTCCGAGGAGGAAAAAAATAGAACAAATCTTTTCGACTTCCTACACTCAACCGTTCATTTCTCTCGTTTGAACAAACTAAAAAAGTCTTGTGATTGCAGTAAGAGTTTAAAAAAATGCAGCAACTGTGGGAAGTGAAGGAAAATAAGAAGAACGAGAGATTCATTAAAGGAAGAGACCTAGTGGATGTTGTCTTCTCATGGTCTGTTCGTGATGTCCTCAACTCAAATCTCTACAAAGGAAAGGTTCTGTTTTCTTCTTAATCTCTTAGAAACTTTAAGATATATTAAACCTCTTTGCTTAATTGCTTTGTGTGTGTTTTGGTTTAATAGGTTGATAAGATCCCTAACACGTTCCCATCAAGCACAGAGTATTTTAAGTCATTTGTCAATCCGATCATCGAAGAGACACATGCTGCTTTGTTGTCAAGTATGGAAACTCTAAGACGAGCACCAACTTTCAAAATTTGGGAAATCAAACCAGCCAAAGATTTTAAACCACCCACGAATCTTTATTATGAGGTTACTTTGCAGACAATGTCTGATGATAATATGAGCAACGAAGATCGAAAACTGTTAGAGTTTAATGATCTCATTGGCATGACTGAAAAAAAGGCTTATAGAATCGATGACTTGAGATGTTCCAATGAGCCTTACTTGCTGGCTCTTGTTTGTGGGGTAAAAGAAGATAACCCACATTTGATTACTATTTTAGCTTCCAAACCCATTGATGATAACATGGTAACTACAAAGGGAGGAAAGGGTGTGAAGAAAAACATAAGCCTCTTTGGTGTTTATTTGATCAACATGATGACCAATATTCGTATTTGGACAGCACTGCATCCTGATCCAAAAGGAGGAAACTTAAAGCTTATATCTAGAGTACTTCAAAGCAACAATGAGGTAATTTAAAGCATATGATTAACTCCGGTCTCTTAGCCGGGATTCTAAATTCATAATTTGATACCATTTTTTTAACACTTTTGGACTAAGAAATGTCTTTTATATATCTCATTTAAGAGACGTAAGAACCATCTCTTATTTAAGAGACTGAAATTAATTATGGTCTTAGATGAAGTCGATTTTTTTATTGTTTACCTGTCCGGATTTATGAAAAAGTTCAGATTAAGTGGGCTCCACTCCAAATATCCAAATAAGTTCTAAGCAATGGATTCATATCTTTACCAATACATGACAAACCCAAGTTATTACCAATCCAAAAGCTTGTTTACCACTAGACCACCATCATGTGGTTAATGTAAATTCGCATCTTACAAACTCGGTTTCTTGTGTAGGTTGGTGATGAAAGTTGTGCTTCTTGCCAAGAAAACAGTGAGAATATTATTATTATTCAAAATCACGTAAAGAGAAGGCTACGTACGTTCAAACTGAATTCATCTCAGGAAAACGCGATTTTGCGTTGTCTAGAAGCCAAAAGTTGTCACCACTGCAACACCATCAAACTAATATGGGGACCACCAGGCACCGGGAAAACAAAAACAACTAGTGTTCTGCTTTTAAACCTTTTGAAAATGAGATGTAGGACACTGACATGCGCTCCAACTAACATAGCTGTTTTGGAAGTTGCTTCAAGGGTTGTGAAGTTAGTTTCTGAGTCCTTGAGGTTTTGTGGGTATGGTCTTGGAGATATTGTCTTGTTTGGTAACCAAGAGAGGATGAAGATTTCTGATAGGGAGGATCTTTTCGATGTTTTTCTTGATTACCGAGTTGAGAAGCTCTATAAATGCTTTCAGGCTGTGACCGGATGGAGAGCAAATGCAAACCGTATGATCTCTTTGCTCAATGATCCAAAAGAAGTGTATGATCAGTCCTTTATCGAGAATGAATGTGAAGAGAAGAAGCGTCCTACGTTTACACAGTTTGTAGAAGAGAGGTTTAGAAAACTCAGGACGGATTTGCATTTTCAGTTCTCAACATTATGTCTGCATGTACCAACAGCCTTGTTCTCCTTTCATGTAGCTGAGAAAATGAATCAAACTAATGATCTCCTTAGAATCATGACAGTTTCAGATGAATTTGGAGAAGATGAGAATGATACAAGGAAGCAAGATTGTATGAAGAAGATGTTAGAATCGATTTGTGAAAGTTTTGAACTCCCAGATTTTATAGGAAAGTTTGGACTAAAACAACTTTGCTTAGAAAACTCATATCTGATTTTCTGCACAGCATCAAGCTCAGCCAAGTTACACATGAGTTATCCAATACAACTTCTTGTGATTGATGAAGCTGCTCAGCTAAAAGAATGTGAGTCAGCGATTCCTTTGCAGCTACCAGGACTTCAACATGCTGTTTTAATAGGCGATGAGAAGCAGTTACCTGCAATGGTGCAAAGCAAGATTGCTTCAGAGGCTGATCTTGGGAGGAGTTTGTTTGAAAGATTGGTCTTGTTGGGGTATAAGAAAGAGTTGCTGAACATGCAATACAGGATGCATCCTTCCATTAGTATTTTCCCAAATAAAGAGTTTTATGGTATGAGGATTTTGGATGCTCCTTTTGTTAGAATGAGAAGTTATGAGAAAAAGTTTCTCCCTGGGAAAATGTTTGGGCCTTACTCTTTCATTAACACACCTTATGGAAGAGAACAGTTTGGACAAGGACACAGTTTGAAAAACATTGTTGAGGTCTCTGTTGTGGCTGAGATTGTGTCAAAGCTTTACTCAGGTAAACTAATCTTGATCCTGATTAGTCTTTAAATTTTGGTGTTTAAGAGCAATCCCCATTGAAAGGTTCTCAATTTGAAGTTCTCAAGCCAATGTATATATATATATATATATATATATATATATATATATATATATATATATATATTTATTTATTTATTTATTTATATTTTATTAAGAATATCTAACAATCATATCATTTGGAATATTTTAACATAGTTCTCATGATTTGAGATACTGAAATAACATTTTATTAATATCTATTACTTTTAACATTTTGAGAATTTTTGTGAGTATTTTTCTACAGGAGTTGCTCTAATGCTGATTCTTGGTTTTGTAATGTGATACTAATATGCAGTATCAAGAAAGTTGGGAAGATCAATAAGTGTTGGTGTGATTTCACCTTACAAGGCTCAAGTGTTTGCAATCCAAGAAAAGATAGGCGAAAAGTACAATAATACCAGTGAGCAGTTCACAGTGAGTGTTCGGTCTGTAGATGGGTTTCAAGGTGTTGAAGAAGATATTATAATAATCTCAACCGTTAGGTCTAACGGTAAAGGAGCAATTGGTTTTTTATCTAACCAACAAAGAACCAATGTAGCACTTACACGTGCGAGGTATCTAAACAGTACCATACTTAATGTCGTGAAACTGTATTTTTGTGTTGTTCTTGATTCATTAAACTTTGTTTGTAGATACTGCTTATGGATTCTTGGAAACGAGTGGACTTTAACAAACAATAAATCAGTATGGAGGCAGTTAGTAGATGATGCAAAAGCACGAGACTGTTTCCATGAGGCAGAGGATGATGAATCGTTAGCTCAGTGTATTGAAAGATCAGCAACAGCCCTTGATGATCTTGATGAGTTTCGAAACAATAGGTTTATTTCCTTTAAGAACTCGATATGGAAGGTATTATACTCCCTCTCTTTTCATGTTTCATTTTATTTGATATCTTTCAGATAATATATGCAACATTTTAGTCTTTGTAAACCATTGGTGTGTTCATATATAATTTCTGTTATTTCTTTAAATCTTTAGGATGCTATCTTAAGTAATCTTAAAAAAAAAGAAACAGAGACGATACAAAATAATTCCATTATTTTCTTCTACAGGTTATGCTTAGCAACGAGTTCTTGAACTCTCTGGAGACGATCCTAGACTCTGAAATTAACAAAAGAATTATGAGCTTTTTGGAGAAATTATCAAAAGGGGAGCTTCAACAAGACTCAGAGACTGATAGTGAGAATCTGTTTAGAGAACAGGAGATCCATGACGGCCTAAGTCTCATTTGGTCAATAGACATTATTCAGAAAGAGAATCACTATGTCCAAATTTTGAAGATATGGCATGTCATGCCATTTTCTGATGTTTCTTGTGCCGAGAAATGTCTGGAGAGACATTACGAGAGATACACGAACGTCAAGATAGAACGGTGCAGATACATATGCTCTCAAGGGTAAGTGAAGTTGACTTTTGTGGCTTTGATTAGGCAAAAGAAACACTAGAAGTATATATGTAACTTTTTGTTGTTTATGTATTGATGCAGAAATCTAGTTGTACCGATGAAATGGCCGGTCAAGTCTTGTTTGAAGAATGACATTATAAGGGATGTATCAAGATCGTTTGCATTGTTGAGTGTTGTGGAGGAAAACTAGGATTCCCAACCAATCAAGCAACACTTCTTCAATGAATTTTTTTTTGTACTTCGTGATCTTTAACTATTTTGGGTACTTATTTAGTGTTGGATTCAAGTTTGGTATGTGTTTATTAAATATTTTTTTGGATCTGGTTCGGTTCAGATAGAACCAAAACTTGAAAACTGTAGAACAAGATTCACTCAAATATTTATGTTGGATATGATTCATATTCATTTTTGTGTCGGTTAAATTAAAAAAAAAAATTCTAACTGATGATTAAAGAAATGAATGAGGATATGTAATTCTTTTTCATTTTTTAAATTTGAAACAATTTATAAAGAATATTTTTCTCTAAATATTTGTCATCCTTCCTTTTAATTTAACTAATTATAGAACAAAATTATTCCTTATTAAATTCAACAAGGAACAATAAAAAATAAACATTTGTTTTCTCTTTGTTCTTATTATTCATTTTTGTGGTCACTAATTAGAAGTTTGATTTGGTTTTTTTCCCACACCTATATATTACTGTAGCTGGTTCACTAAACAAACCATCACCAAATCTACTAATGACAATCATCAAGTAATCTAAATCATGTGATTAGGGTTGTCTTATTGGTTTTGTATTTTATTTATGTTGCAAAAGATAAACCTTTTTTTTTACACAACTAGGGCTGGTCCGCGCTACGCGCGGAATATAAATTATATATGATGTTAAAACTATAAAATTGTATTTTATTGTGTTCTATGAACTTTTGCAAGAGAAATGTATTATAGTATTTAAGGTTTTTAAGAATGTTGGTGCGTAAAAGATATATGTTAGTTTATTTTTAAAATTTTATTAGTCTTATTAAATTTAGTCGTTTTTTTTGAAAATTTGATTTGAAGATAATATTCTAATTCTTTAACTTAAAAGATTAATATTTTGAATTCTATAAATAAATTTTGTGTACAATTAAAGTATAACTTTATCTTATCTAAAATAATTTTTTTTTAAATCATTTATATAGTTATGATCAATGCTTTTAGTGTTTATAATAAATCTTGCATATCCATTTGTGTTCTATGTTTACTAAACTGTATATTAAGTTAGAGGTGTTTTAGGAGCGTAGCCCCGCAAGCGCGGGGTCATAAACATGTTATTGCCATATATATCACAATAAGTCGATGCGATGTATTGTTTATGAATTTTAGTTTGGCTGTGGCATGTGGTCATTGTTTTCCTAAGATTTGTATTGTAATAGAGTTCAGTGAAGAACTGGTGTAGTTTTTTTTTTACTGTTGGTATTGTGTGTGTTTTGTGTTGGCGTGATAGTTTAGATGATGTTGTTTGTTCGGTGTGGTATTTTCTTTTAACTTAAGTATTTTAATAATAGCCTTTGAAGTTTTTTTTTGTTTTATAAAATATATACCAGTAAGTGTGGTAATTAGTAAAGTTTAAATAATTGTGAAAATGGTTTATAAAGGAGTCAGATAACATACGGGTTGTGTGAAAGCCTCTCTGTAAAACGATGTTGGCGATGGTGTTATTTTAGATGTTGTTTTTATTGTGTGTGAGATGATAATTTTGGTGGGTTTAATGTTGTGGATAAATTGTTTGTTTGGAACTATATCTCGAACCATATTTTTATGTGCATAGTCGTCCTGTTTAAGATGTTATGGTCATCCAATTTGACTAATTGGTGACTATCTATTATTTTAATTGTTTGAATGGTTACATATGCTTCAAATGTTATGTCGTGAAAAAGCAGGAACGTTTTTGTCATTCTGATTATACTTCCAATATGGGTTATGGGAATCTTATTGCTAAACTGGATAGACTTATTAAAATGATTGGTAACCAACTCCTAGTTACTTAACGTTCCCCTTTTAGTGCTTTATTTATGAAACTATTGCGACAGTTGATTATGTTAGATCTGTGACTGAGATCATGACAAAGCTTTATCTCGTATGTGTAGAAATTTATTACGCTTATGGTGGTTCTCATAATGCATGCTTGAAGTATAATCAAAATATACATCACTGTTTTTGAAAAAAAATTTGTAAATGTTAAAGATGCCTTGCGTGCAGACGATCTTAGATGGCTTTCAGCAGGTTCCTCTCATAGATGCCTAAGTTTCATCCACAACGCTCTAGCTTTCTTCACCAATCCGTAGATTTGTTTTGTAAAGAGATCACCAACAACTCACTATATAAACTATTTGTAACACCTGTCACCTCCTATGTGGAGTACAGCGTGTCATCCCCGACGCGTCATCAAATAACAATGTGCCACCCGTCTCCCTTTCTCTAGGACGACGGGCCACCCATAATATCTCGAAACATAAAAGCCCAACTACACTCGCCCAAGCCCAAATAAAAATCCGAATAAAAAGTCCAATAGCACCAAGTCCGTCCAAATATCACCTTAAAACTTGTCTCACCTGAAATGAGAAGAAAGAGGGGTGAGCGACTGGGGAGTCACTCAGTGAGGTATGGGATGCTACCCCGAAGTCCGTAGACCCGGACATAGCACTCCAAATAAATATAAATTAATTCTAATGCATGTCAAACACGGTACCTAAAGTACCCACGCAAACAAGCAATGGTCCTAGCGAGACGCACTCGCTGCCCACTAACAGGCCAAAAACACCGCCCACACTAGGACTAAACAACATAACAACCACTGAGGATAGTGCCCCGGCACCGCCCGTAGACGATTTATCGACCCTAAGTTACGGCACAACCGGTCGACTAAAGTTGTCCGTAACCCTAAAACAATCCGGCATACAGAAGTCCGTCTCCGTATCCGGCCAAACAATTCTAACTAAATGATTTACATTAAGCGAAGCAATCAATGTTGAACCATCTGACACCCTATTCCGGTTTATGCAAAGAATTCTAAACCTAAACAAGCAGACACCAATCAGANCCGTAACCCTAAAACAATCCGGCATACAGAAGTCCGTCTCCGTATCCGGCCAAACAATTCTAACTAAATGATTTACATTAAGCGAAGCAATCAATGTTGAACCATCTGACACCCTATTCCGGTTTATGCAAAGAATTCTAAACCTAAACAAGCAGACACCAATCAGACCCTAAATTAGACTTAATTCACAAAGACGGAATACATTAGAAATAAATTATATTTATTTAAAGTTCTAAATCGCGTACGAATCGTTCGGAAGTAGACCCTCACCTTAGCAAATGGGGAAAAATGATATCTATGAACTCCAGCTGCTCAAATAGATCCCAAATCTGAAATCAGATCGAAATTCCGAGTCAGATTGACCTTCGAACGGGCGAAAACGGGCGATTACGGAAAAGTCAACCCGCTGGTCAAAGGTCAACCCGGTCAACTCTGACCCAAGCCGGTCAACCCTTGACCAAATTGAAATCGAATTGGACCAATCGGTTTTCCTTAACCGGATTTGATTTCAATTGAACCGGATCCAAATCAATTACAAATCGGTTTACTCCTAACCAAAATTCAACTGATTTTAACCACCGGTTTACCTTAACCAAATCGCAATCGGATTGAACCGGGTCAAACCAGTCAACCAACCGGTTGACCGAGTCAACCGAGTTGACCGAGTCAACCGAGTTGACTCGCTGAGTCGACTCGGCCGAGTTGACCGAGTCACCGGCGACGGTCACCGGCAGCGACGGTGGTCCGGCGGCGGAGCGGCGGCGGAGGAGCGGCGGTCCGGCGGCGGAGGAGCGGTGGTCCGGCGGCGGAGGAGCGGCGGTCCGGCGGCGGAGGAGCGGCGGCGCGTGCACTCCACGCGCGCGGAAGACAAAACTTGCGGGGGCGCGTGACGGCTCGTCCGGACTCCGATTGAGGCGTTTTTGGTGTCTACGGCTTCGTCTCGACGAGTAGAACACAGTGGTGGCCTTGCATGCACGAGATTCTCAACGGTTCAGAAGTTATCGCTTCACGAGTTTTGTTTCTGGAGTGTATGTGATATGTGATATGAGTTATAGGCCATTGGTTGGCATGTGTTAGGTTGTGTATGAGTATATGGATTATGTGGAGGTATGTGTGGTTTGTAAACTCGTGGGGATCGCTTTTGAATTTGGGGTGCAGCAGCTCGTATTGTGTTGATATTAGAGCTTCACTTGGCTTTNGAGTGTATGTGATATGTGATATGAGTTATAGGCCATTGGTTGGCATGTGTTAGGTTGTGTATGAGTATATGGATTATGTGGAGGTATGTGTGGTTTGTAAACTCGTGGGGATCGCTTTTGAATTTGGGGTGCAGCAGCTCGTATTGTGTTGATATTAGAGCTTCACTTGGCTTTGGTTGCCAGTTCTTGATTGTGTTGACCGTTTCAGAGATGTGTCAGTTCAGACAACTGGCATATAGATGTTTGGAGCTACTTATATTTATCGAGTTGTACCAATTATGGGCGGAGTGATTAATTTATTTGAAGACTTTTAGGAGTTGAGCTTCTGCGATTTTATTCTTAGGATGCATTGGCTATCATTTCTGGAGCATTGGAGATTTTCATAGCTGTCATTTCTTCATGTTGAGGAATTCTTGGATGTAAGATCATATGGATATTTGAGACCATTGTGATGGTGAAGGACGATGGAAAGCACTAACTGTAGAATCTTTCAGGTACAGAGTATGAAGATATATTTATGATCTTTGGAAGGGTCATCACCAAGCAAAGGAGACGCTTTGGCGATTGAAATGGAACGAAGGACGCCACCGGTTTCACGAGTTCTGTACTGATTAGCGCCAACAGAGATGGCCGAGCCAATGAACCAGATGGAAGATTATTAGACATAAATTTTATTAGACACAGTACTCCACCATGGGGACCACTAGTGTTGCGGCAAAAAATATATGGGAGTTTCAGATTTGGTATCGATTGCAGAGATTTGAATAGAGTGATCATCAAGAGAAAGCATCCGCTTCTGCGTATTGATGAATGGTTGGACTAGTTGCTGGGAGGTTCATTGTTTTCGAGGATTGTCTTGGCATCAGATTACCACAAGATTATTGTAGCTGAGGGAGATGTGCGGAAGA